ACGCCAATTGTCCAATCTGCAGAAACTGCATTTCCTCGTCGGCGATTTTTTTGAACCCCGGCAGTTCTACTGGCGATTTCACGGCGGCCGGGAGTAATGAAGACGACGGCGTTGTTATTGAACTTGATGAGGATCTGTCGATCATCCCGTCTCCGACACCGAAATTTGCAAGAAAAAATCGGAGAAAGTTCAGGCGAGTTACCAGCGTTGGGGATGAGTGCATTGACATTAGGCAAAAGGATGAGCAGTTTGCGGTTCAACCGATCAGGAGATCTTTCTCGATGGACTCGGCGGCGGACCGGCGAGTTTATTTGGCGGTTCAGAAGGAAGTTCAGCAGCAGAAACGCCGGCAAGATGAGATCATAAGTTCCGGCGAGAGTAGCAGTAGCAAAATTAAAAAGAAGTCATTTTTCTCTTTCGGGTATGGACGAGGATAAAAAAATTCAGTTCAAACTGCAGGTTCATTTGGAACCTTAGCTTGACGTCATAATATAATTCTTGTTCTTCTTTTGACTTTTTAGTGATTATCATTTATGTTTTGTACTCTGATCTGACGTTTGCGTTTTCTGATTTGAAACTCAAATAATATTAGTCCCAAAATGGAAAGGGATAGAACCGGTGAGCGAAGAAGAAGAAGAACGAAGAAGAAAGGGAGAATGAAGAAAAAGGGAGTGAAATGACAATTTTACCCTCATCAGAAATTAATTCGAAGCATTAAATCTTTTTCCGGCCAAAATTGGCCGGCAATTTGGCCCGGAGGACCAAATCTGTCAAAAATTGCATAGTTAAAAGTTTAAATTGGGAGTTTTAAAAGTCACGTACTCAAATTGTCAGTACCCTAATACTCACAGGACCAAAAGTGCAATTTGTTCTTACTTAACTATATGTTCATAATGAGAAAATTTCAATTTTGGTCCACTAACTATTGGGGTTGTTTTAATTGCAACACTTGACTTTCAAAAATGTTAATTTAGTACCTTGACTATGCAATTTCTATCAATTTTGGTCACGCGGGCCAAATTGCCGGCCAAATCTCACCGGAAAGATTTAATAGGGCAAATAATGAGGGTATTTTTAGTCATTTTACTTATGTTCTTTCTTCTCCGGTGAACTTCCCTCCATTTCCGGCGAGAAAAATTCGATCATCCGCACAAGCCCATAATCCGACCATCGACGTAATATGGTTCATCTTCTTCAACAGACCTATGTTCCTCCTTAATTCAAAACGGAGTAAAAGAAACTCCATTTTCAGTTTCAATTAACGCAATTACACAGCTGAATAACTAAACAAAACGGAAATATCAATGAACCTTTGAGGAAAACTTCATCTTTTTGCTTGGTCGGCCTTTATCGCCTGAAAACAACGATTTCCACCAAATAAATTTGCATACTCAGCATACTTACACAATTGTATTGAAAGACAATAATCAATTGCTTTTTGCTACTTTTAAGTTATTTTAATTGTCTAAGGACAGGTTATTTCTTTCGAGAGTATTTACCGTGGCCCATCTTCCTCTATGGTTGAGCTCTATGCACCAGCGGTTGTCAGTTGTGAGAGTTAATTTTAGAACATCAATAGCGGTCTGATAGGAATGTTCGTAGTACTGGAGAAACGGAAATGGCAAACCTGACAGTGGATATAGATTTATGCGACTGAAATCACCGGCTTTAATGGAGATATTGAGCAAAATGGCCAACTACGGTGAACGACGATGATCTATTGAGTATGAGTAGAAGGAATCTCGCCGGAAATGGAGGGAAGTTCATCGGAGAAGAAAGAACATGAGTAAAATGACTAAAATACCCTCATTATTTGCCCTATTAAATTTTTCCAGTGAGATTTGACCGGCGTGACCAAAATTGATAGAAATTGCATAGTCAAGGTACTAAATTAACATTTTTGAAAGTCAAGTGTTGCAATTAAAACAACCCCAATAGTCAGTGGACCAAAATTGAAATTTTCTCTGTTCATAATTATAAAACTATATATTCATAAGGGAAAATAGTAAAAAATGGCCCTCTATAATATGTCAATTATCAATGTCACCCCTGAATCATGAGTGGTGTAAATGTTGTCCCTCAATTATCAAAATGGTGCACATATAGCCCCTCCCGTAACGGACATGTGGTTCCCCACCGTTGTCCATCGCTGTTCGCTGGTACTTCGAATCGAGGGAGGGAAAAAACAACAAAATTACATATTTACTCCGACTTAACGGTGTCGTACACTAACGGGGAACCACATGTCCGTTACGGGAGGGGCTATATGTGCACCGTTTTGATAATTGAGGGGCAACATTTACACCACTCATAATTCAGGGGTGACATTGATAATTGACATATTATAGATGAGCATTTTTTACAATTTTTCCTATTCATAATATTTGAACTTCATATACACAATTATTGAATCTCTATATTCATAACTATAGAACTATATGTTCATAATTATGTTCACAAATCTATGTTCATAATTATAGAACTATATATTCATAATGACTAAATTATATGTTCATAATTATAAAGCTATATATTCATAATTTTTGAACTTCATATTCATAATTATTGAACTATATATTCACAATTACATAACTCTATGCTCATAATTATCAAGTTATATATTCATAATTTTCGAACTTCATATTCACAATTATTGAATCTCTATATTCATAATTACAGAACTATATGTTCACAACTCTATGTTCATAATTTTTGAACTATATATTCATAATTATGAACAATTTTGGAACCGTGTCCACCTTGCAAGGTGGACACGGTTCCACAGCATAATTTACCCCCACCCCACCCCTTTATATATATGAATGTACACACACACACACACACACACACACACACACACACACACACACACACATATATATATATATATATATATATATATATAGTGAAAGGTTCCCGTGCGGTTGAATGCTTCATGTGCGGATGTGCGGTGGATTAATGTGTGTGAGATTTGTACTTAATGTGCGTGAATATGTAAAATGCAGCAGAAAATATTGATGTCAGCTTCTTCCCCATCCCCAGTAACCATTGCCCCCTCCCTGATGATGATAATGCGGAGGTGGGCTATGGTGGTTAAGAATTATGGGAATAACAACAGAAATCCACACTTAGCTGCTGTGCAAATTTTACTGTGCGTCATCTATATAAACATTTAACTGCACTGAAGGTAGCTGATAATCCAGAATCCATGGCCAAATTGAAGGAAGAAGTAACAAGAAGCTTGGGCGTTAATGTGCGTGAGTTTCTGTCCTGCTTCTTTCTGAGCTCGTAATTCTGAAATACTCACGCACATTAAGCACAAATCTCACGCACATTAAACACAATACTTAGGCACATTAAGTACAAAACTCATGCATATTAACATGACGCACATTAAGCACAAATCTCAGGCACATTGAGTACAAGTCTTACGCACATTAAGTATAAATATCACGCACATTAATCCACTGCACAACCGTACGGGAAGCCACAAATGCACCTGATCCCTTCCACACACACACACACACACACACACACACACACACACACACACACACACACACACACACACACACACACACACACACACACACACACACACACACACATATATATATATATATATATATATATATATATATATATATAGCATTAAATGTTATATAAAATCTATATTTATGTTTTTGAACTAATAATTTGAATAGCTTAGTTGGTTAAACTTAAATTTTGATATTATAAAGTGTACGGCAAATTATGCTGTGCATGCATGGTGCACACAAATGTAAAAACGACGTCGTTTTGGTTAAAAACGCGCGTCTCACTTTAAAAAAATTCAGTTTCGATTCTCAGCAACAACATTATGTTGTTCATTCATTGTAGATCTTTAGTTCATTCATTCTGAATTTTTAGTTATGAAATTATGATTGTGTAGTTATGCAATTCTGGATTTATAGTTATGAAGTTATGGATGTGTAATTATGCATGGTGTAGTTATGCAATTCTGGATTTATAGTTATGAAGTTATAGATGTATAGTTATGCAATTCTGGATGTATAGTTATGAAATTATGGATGTGTAGTTATGCAATTATGGTTTTATAGTTATGAAGTTATGGATGTATAGTTATACAATTCTGGATGTATAGTTATGCAATTCTAGATGTATAGTTATGAAGTTATAGATGTGTAGTTATGCATGCAATTCTAGATTTATAGTTATGAATGTATAGTTATGCAATTCTGGATGTATAGTTATGAAGTTATGAATGTGTAGTTATGCAATTTCTGATGTATAGTTATGAAGTAGTTATGGATTTTTTTTTTTAAGTCGACATCAAAACGACGTCGTTTTTCCATCCGTGTGCACCATGCATGGTGCACATGGATGCACAACATAACGCTCCAAAGTGTACATGGTCATAGCCCATAGGTTCAAATCTCATTAACAACATTTTTTTCTTATATTCACTTGTTTAAAAAGTTAAAATTAAAAAGTATTTATGAATATAGTGCTACTCAAATTATTTTATCTAATTGATTATGTTTCATATTTTATCATAAATGTTTTCACATTTTCACCACACTCAAATATATTTTTTGCTTTGACTCTAATTATCATGTAATCTATAAGAAAACATTCTATTGTAATTTATGATGTATTTTTGTATTTTAACATTATTATAATTGTTTAATATTTTGTAATTGACATTTCTATTGTCATTTAAACTATATTTTCACTACCAAGATTATATGGTTTAATGGTACCCGGGTTAGATTTTTATTTGGAAGATTGTAAGTTCAAGCTTCACGGGAGGCAGAAGCCTCAGTAAAAAAAACTATATTCTCACTCAAATAGTAATTTTCTAACTCCGTCTTTATTTGCGAGTATAATTTCATCTCTCCTCTCTTCTCTAAATCATCATTACTCACCCCTAACTCATCAAAAAAAAAAAAAGAAAAAAAAAACACAAAGAAAAAACTTGATGCTCTAAATATAAAATTTCATTTGTAGATTTTTTTTTTTTAAAGAAAAAGCAATTTTATGGTATATTGGTTTAAAACCCAAAACCCTTGAAAAGGCTCTACAGTTCAAATCCAAGCCACTCGCAGCGCGATCTGTACCTGAAGAAACCATGGCCACCATCGCCGCCAGGTCCGTCTTTCGCTCCGCCACAGCCTCCGCCCGGACCGCCGCAACCAGACTGGCAACTGGAGCGAAGCCTAAGACCTCCGGCTCTCCTTTTCGCATCCCCACTCAGAAGCCCCTCACTGCACGCATCTTCAGGTAATTTTATCTGATTTTTTTTTCCCTCTCTATCTGATTTAAGTTAATCTTATAATTATGAACTCATATCTACATACGATTTGCATTTGATTTCTTGTATTTTCCTGAAATGATTAAAATATGAAGGTCTCCTTTGGAGTTGAGCTGTGTTAGAGTAGAGACTATGCTGCCGTATCACACGGCGACTGCCTGTGCTTTGCTCAATTCCATGCTCTCAGTCGCTCCCCGGAGCCGTGGTTGGAGTCTTGAAGGTATATTCTATTCATATTTAATTTACAGCTTTTGAACTTAATATGTGAGCAATTTGTTTCTAAGTTTTAATTTGAACTATTGAGTGATACTTTTGTGTTCTTTCTATGTCATAGATCTATATTTTAACAAGAAAACTTTGGTGTTTAGTATGCTATTTTGATTTTGGATTGTTTGAATGGCCTATTTCTTAGTCATTTGTTCACATTCCAAATAGTTTACCTTTTTATTCCCCCATTGCTACGGAGATGATGATAGATACTCCGTATAATATATGGTTCTTACTCAGTATGTGCCTCCAACTACAGTGAATTCACAAGTCACACCCACCAGATATGTCTTGTTTCAATGTGGTAGTCCTTTTCCCCGGATGTATGTCTATTGACTTTTTGCCTTGTATACCCTTCGTCCAATTTAAGCTAAAGAATAATTATGACTAAGCCCAGAGCCCCACTTTCTAAACCGGAATCTTGTAATCCTGTTGGCAGTGTCAGAGACCCCTTACACATAAGCTCAGGCTTGATTCCTTTGGACTAAAGTTTCTTGGCATTTGCTAATTATGATTCAAATAGCATCAATTAATAATTGTAAATCCATTATCTTTTCTACAAAAGAACTACTCCTGTTTATTAACTGCACATAGTACTAGTATTAAGTTTTAAGTCTTTAATGATGACTTTCATTCATTCTGGTCAAGATGTTCTCCTTTAGTTTAGAATGCTCTCATTGGATTTTTAAGAAAATAAGTGATAAATCTTAATAAAATCATGTTAATATATATAAAAATTGAAGAGCACACAACCATCTACAATTGTCCTTGCCATGTCCAACAGTCCAAGTCATTCTATGTCTAATTTCCTTTCTAAGTGGAAAGGAGCTAAGTAACCATATTCCAGTTGTTGGTGATAGTTGCATTCAACACACCTAGCATCCAAGCAGTCTAAAAATTAAGGAGTTTCTGTGGTTTATTAGAACTTGGGGCTTTGATGCAATTAGATCATATTCTGTGGCTGCTTGACTGTAGAGTAATTCAGAGGTACTATTTTTTGCAGATTTGTGAATCATGCAGCTGTCATTGATTGTTGATGAGTTAATTCCAAAAAATTAGCCCCAGATAACTGAACCAGATACTCTTTACAGACTGAATGCAATCATGCATATCTTGTATTCTTACCCTCCTGTAGTAGCTAATAATGTAAGGGCTTTGCTAATACTTGGTATTTTATCAGATTGCAATGATGATGCCTGATAAATGCTAAAGGATTCGAATGAAGTTTTACATCCATGCACTCTAGGAGATTGTCTGACAAGTAGGAATGAGCACCAGCGAAGAAATATCTGTTTTCTTTTATGAATTTTACTGTGCATTTTGTTTCTATTTTACCTTGGGTGATATATAGGGTTTTAGTATTTGGATAATTCTGGATCTTTCAAAGTGTCCTAATCTGTTTACTTTTATCTTTCTGGGATCATTCTATTAAGTATTAGCCAATAATAAATGTCTTGTGCCTTTTTCCCAATTGTCCTGTGATTAAAAACACTAGTCATATTTTGTTTCTTTCTATGATGTGCCGTTTAAACTGTGTAGTTATTGCTCATCACAACAAAGATATATGATATAATTTCCAAGTGATCAATTTCTGGGGTTGCTTTGTGTAAAATATTTCCCTTGGGTGTAATTTACTTAGTTTGCCCAGCTTTCATGAAAATTAGCGAGAGAATCATTTTGAGAGTTAGGGTGCATGTGGTTGGAAATATAGTTGATGGTTTTACCTTTCTGCTAGGATTTCAGAGTTACTTTTAGCATAGGAGGTCCAACTTTGAAGTAACAAGTATCTATATCTTTAACTCTTTAAGTATACTTGAATTTCTAGGATTAGGCTATCTTTGGTTGGGGCAGAAAAAGAGGAGGAGAAAGGACATCTCTTCAATGCTGTATAAAGTAGATGTAATGGAAGTAATAGTGGGGAGGTTTGAAATCTCTCTCCCTTTGACATTGTATCTTATGAAGTTAGAGGGATACAAGGAAACAAATCCCTTTAACTTGCCCAAATGTCCTCCTCTATCTAAAACAATCCGAAGGATATGAGATTTACTTGCACTAGGAAAGAAAATCTACCCTCCTTTAACCTTTTGTCTGGTGAGCTCGTCTTACTTTCATCTTCTCCCTCTGTAGTTTGTGCCTATAGTAAGCAACTATAAGACCAAGTTTGAGCGGATTCATTATCAACATAATGTTAGAGAACCAAATCAAAAACATGTAAAACTTGCCTCTGGAGAAGAGCCGTTTCCATGAGAACGTTGCAACAAGTACATTTTAATCTGTAGTGTTTCTAGTGTAATTTCATGTTTTAGTTTATTAATAATCCCTTTCCTTGTCTAGGGCTGTGACTCTGTGATTGCATCTCATTGGCTTGCATTCAGCTCGAGGACGATGAAACACACTTAAAAAATAGCATGCATACTTTGTGTTAAACTTTTTATGGGCCTTATGTAAATGTATCTTCTCTTCTTACATTGTAGATGGATGATTGTTAGATGTGTTGGGAAAATCGGAAACCATTCACGTCTTCTTCATAGTACCATGGATGTCAATGGACAATGTATTACTACACAGCCTGTGGCATTATAGGTTCTGTTTGGTTCCCATTTCAAAGTTATAAGGTTTTTTTGTTCTTTCATTTGAAAATGATGCACATGTTTCTTTGACAAAAATAATATATCTGTAAGTTTAGTTTCATTGTGCATCTAGTCTAGACAGATAGATAGCAACATTAGCCAATGTTAGTCAAATTGGGTTAATCATGATTCCTGATATTTTATTGTTGTATAAGTTTCAACTAATCTGGTGTCGAGTTACTCTCTCATTTCACATCTAAACAAGAGTTCTTCCTGGACAAGTTTTACTCATTAGTCTCGGATGCAACACATTGTCTTGTTTGGTAACATAGTTTATGAGCTAATTTGGCTTATTTGACTATTATTAGCTGTTTGACTTGATAAATAATCAATATAAGTGTTTGATTAAGTAGCTTTTTGTAACATCTTATTGCTCTAAAATGTTAAAATTTAAAAAAGTTACTCAAAATAGTTTTTTTCAATCAGCTTTTTGAGAGTAATTTTGTATGGAATTTACTATCAGCTAACAAGTAATTTACCAAACACTTTTTTATAATTAGCTAATGATATTAACTAGTTAAACTCACTAATTCAATTAATTAATACGGAGTAGTTATTTACCAAACACTCCCATTGTATATGGAGAATTTAGCTTGAGGAATAAAATATATGGTGCGCTTGTGTTTGTTATTTTTATTTTTTGATTTTACCTCCTAACGTTTAAAAAAAATTATTAGTTATCCGTTAATTAAATACTGTCACATAAAAATTGATTTTTTAAAAATTTTATCTCCTAATGTTAAAAAAAAAAAAAAAAAAAAAAGAATCATTAGCTACCCATCAATCAAATATTATCACTCAATAAGACAAATTATACAAAAGAGGACTTTTTTTTTTTTTTTAATATTATTGACTCTATTACAATACAGTATTTATTATTATTACACATTTATAATTTTAATCTACCTTTTCTTTGTGTGAACCGTTAATTACAATTGAAAAATTCAATACTTCAAGACTAAATTTGGTAACTCTAAAATTAAATTTAATAGCTTTAAAAGTCGTTGATTAAAAAATTAAATTCATAATCAATTCTTATTTTTACAATAGAAATAAGACTAGTAACCACAAAATTCCAAGTTGAACTCTTTATGGAAACTGTCTCTTGACCTCCATAATTTAAACCGACCGATCAACTATTGACAACCTAAGATAATTGAAGTCCTTTTGATTCTTTACCGGCAAGCTTCACCCAAAGAGCGCAAATTCAAATAGCAATGGTAAGCTTTCCCGCAAATCAAAGGTTAGTGTCAAAAGAACTTGCAAGAAGTATTGCACATAAAGCTCTGAAAGAAAAGATGTACACAAATTCTCACATGATTAAAGTCAAATCTCTTTTACATACCAATTAATCAAACTTAGATTAGATTAGTCCTAGTAACAGTGGAGTCTTCACAAAACAAATACCATAACTGAATACTATACCAAACCCCAAGACCCAACACTGAATTTTACCCAACACCCTCTCCTAAATCCTAATAGATAAAAGTGGTAAAATGCACTTCCACCCTTTCTTCAACATTCACAAAACACCAGTAGCCAGATACATTTTTTTACCTGATATCATCTTTAATAGATAACAGAGGAAGAACGCACTTCTTAAATAATCAACCAACCCAAAAACCAGAATTGGAACTTCACCCAGTAGACAAAAGAGGCGAAAGGGACATAACACTATTCTTCAACATTCACCAACTCGTACTCGACCAGTGATAGATTGTTGTCTTCTTTGACCGTGAAATCTGCAGGCTCAGTTACCTCAATTCGACCCCATTTGTCCACGGCTAGCCTCATAGACCCCTTAAACATGTCGATCTTGGCGTTGCGAAGAATTACAGTGGTTTCTGGTTTCATCAATTCAACTGCAGGATAATAAAGGATATCATCACCGCAACTCAACATACTGACCTAGCAGGTTAGTGCATAAATGTTGAAAAACAAAAATATAGTGATAAAATGCAAACCAAGAGAAATGACTAGATGACAAGTATTGCAATCAAGCTGCAACTGAATACACACTTTACATTACATCATTTTTCAAGCCTTAAAACTTTATTCTCAGTAGTCACAGAGAACTGCAGGTTAGCTCCTCCCTCGTCCAAAAAGAAAAAATGGCAGAAGCTATTTACCTATCACTACAACATAACACGGCTTTACAAACCCAGAACTTCAAATCCACTATTGCGTGCTCATTTCTACAGAGCTCTAAAGCCATAATGAACCCAATTGTGTGTTCTTTCTCGAAGCCAGCAATTATTTAACTCCACACTACAGAAGAACTTTGAAAAAAAGATATAGGAATGATAACAAAATCCAAAGCTCTAAAAGAATAGTATGGAACACACAACTAATATAAAATCAGTCATTTGATTTCTGCCCTAAATCACGGGAAATTTCTATGGTAACTGCTTCGATTTCTAGGGAAAGAAGACAATCGAAGAATTTACAATCCCTAAGCAACACTAACCAATTCAAACTACGATTAGGTTAATCAACATTAAACATCAATTTATAACTTCGAACCCTAGAAATGCAATTTTGACACCAGACTGTCACGAAAATTCAGAAAACGCATGAAATCAACATCAATTGCAGATTAAACAATGTAAAAGTCAGAAGGGAAAACGAAACCTTGGTCGTTACGGGCAGTGAAGAGGATAGTCCCAGTTTCGTCTCCGATGAGACACTCCGCGATGCGAGTGTTCTGGGGAGGGCGACGGGGACCCGCTAACGGCGCCGTATTCGTCGGCTTCTTCTCCAGCACTGTGTTGCAGTTCAAAACCTTGACGGTGAGGTTATGGCCGGTAGTTCCGGGCTGCAACTGATCCACCTTCACGAACACCGGCTTCCTCATTGGCGTCTTCACGGCACCGCCGGCGGCGGACGGTCGGCGGCGGTTGTAGCTTCTGGTAGCCATGGATTGCAGTGAGAGAAAGGAGAAGATTTTGGCGAATTTGAAAGAGTCGTCGTTGGTGTGAGTGTAAGCGAGCGGTCAGTCCTCTTAGGATCCGAAGGTGACGGGTAAACGACGCCGTTTACTTCATCTCAAGACTCGAATATATACTCTCTCCCTACTTTTCAGAGATGTCAATGTACGTCACATCCCCTCACCTTGATTAGGCAAGCTGTCAAACCATGAAAGTAGCTTTCTCCCAACTTTTTTTTTTTTTTTAAATAAAAAATTATTTAGACCATTTTTATTTAGTCCGAATACGATTTTATGGAGTATTCAATGATATAATGAGCGTTATAATTAGAATTAAATATTTGCGGGTCAAGCACTTAGAGCATCCACAATGGTTGGGAAGAATGTGGAGATAATGTAAGAATGATTAGGAAAGAGAATGAGGTAGGGGAGAGGAAAAAAAAAAAGAAAAAAAAAGAAGAGAAAATTGATTTAAAAAAAAAAAATTAAAATCTAATCGGCGCGCCTGACGCACCACCGGGCGCGTGCAGTGCACGCGCCCGGCTTTTGCCCAGGTTGTGCGCGAAACGCGGACAGCCTGACTTCTTCTTCTTCTTTTTTTTTTCTTTTTTTTTTTAAAAAAAAAATTCTGACATTAACCCCAATTTTGCAAGCACATTCTTTTCCAAATAACTCATCCCCACATCAATATTATTTTTGGTTTGAGTGATTTATTTCTGAAATAACTCCACAATCTCCCCTTAGTGTGGATGCTCTTAGGCCTTCTCCGGTGAAGGCGGTCAACGGAAAATGGTGCATAATTTGACAGTGAACCTTCTTCAGTGAAAGCGCTAAATTATGCGTTTTTTTGACATTTGTCTACAGTGCAACGTCATTGTAGCTTTACGCTAAAATATACCCACCAGAAAGACTAATCAAATCCATAATGATGTACCGGAAAATACAACATTTTTGTTACTTGACCAGCCCTCAGGAGAAGCAAATACAACGGGTGGATAAATCATTTTAATCTCAATTTTGCCCTTTGCCTTTTTTATTACTTCATTTTGTATCCCTATTTTGTTATTATGGATTTACATATTTTATTAAATACATAAACATAAATTTTGAATAATTAAAAATAAATTATATCCAACAGACACAGAATAACGGTTTAATTCATGGCTGCAGGGTGGCACGAGGAGCACCCCCGATTTCTCACTTATTCTTCGCAGATGATAGTCTCTTGTTTATTAAAGCTAATCAGTATGAGGCAGCCGAGATTAAAAATTGTTTGGCCAGGTATGAAGCTCTCTCAGGACAGATGGTGAATTACCATAAGTCTAGTATTTGCTATAGTAAGAATACTGGTAGTGGAGACAGGGAGATGGTGGCGCAGATCCTGGGCGTTGTCCAAGCTCCGAATTTTGGGAAATATCTAGGTCTATCGGCTTTCATAGGAAGAAATAAAAAGGCAGCTTTTGCATATATTGAGGATAAGATCAGGCAAAGAATTGACTCGTGGAATAAGAAACTCTTAACGCAGGCAGGAAAAGATATATTATTGAAAAGTGTAGCTCAGGCAATGCCTACCTTTTCAATGAGTGTTTTTCTATTACCAGTATCTGTCTGTGCAGCTATTGAGCGAACAATGAACCGATATTGGTGGGGAACAGGACCGGGGTATTCATTGGAAGGCATGGGATAGACTGTGTATACCCAAGAAATATGGTGGCCTAGGTTTCAAAGATCTGAAGGCATTTAATTTGGCTATGTTGGGGAAGCAGGCTTGACGTTTCCTAACAAATACTGACTCATTGGTATCCCGTGTGTACAAAGCTAGGTATTACCCTAAACTAACTTTTTCAGAGGCAAGTATGGGGAATAATCCTAGCTACTGTTGGAGGGGTATTATGGCTGCGAAAGAATTAATTACCGGTGGGGTGCGACGACGTATTGGGAATGGTGAATCGACCTTAATATGGAAAGATCCATGGCTCCCGGATGAGTTGGATCCTATGGTCCAGACTGAGATGCCATTACAATTAGCAGATGCTAAGGTTGCAGGATTGATTGATCAAACAACAGGAACGTGGGATCCTCACATTTTAGCTGATATTTTTCAACCAAATGATGTGCCTAGAATCTTAAAGATCCCCATCTCCCCGGAATATGAGGATACTTGGTACTGGTATGGAGATCCAAATGGATGCTACTCGGTTAAGAATGGATACAGGCATATAGTGGGCACCTATAATACTAGTATGGGTTTTGATAAATGGAATACCCTATGGCACCTCAAAATACCACCAAAATGGAAAATGTTCTTATGGAGAGCAATGAGCAATATATTACCCACTACTACTAATTTGCTTATAAAGAGGGTGGAAATTGATCCGGCATGCGCCATGTGTGGATTAATACATGAGGATATAATGCACTCATTATTGTTGTGTGACTATGCAAAAGCCATATGGAGCCAATCTAACCTTCCAATCCCCCAAATTGTGACAAATATTTTTTATGATTGGTTTGGAACATTATTAGATGTTCTAGATTCTGATGCAATATTGTTTGCAGCTGCAATACTATACAATATTTGGAGGGCCCGGAACGGAACGAAGCGGTGTGGAATGCTTATCTATCAATGCCGAAGAAGGTTGTAGCCACGGCTTTAGCAGCCATGAAGGCGTGGCAACAACTACATACTACTGCCGAAAGGGAGCACAGGACTGCCGAAATAAGAGCCCCCCATTTTCCCACTGTACCGCCCCAATCTGTGTTACCGCCCAGTTCGGCCGTAGTAGCGCAGCAGCAACCCCAGCTCAGTACGGTGCAACCACCTGCCGCGGATCTCCCACCCCAACCGAGGCGATGTCACATCGATGCCGGCTACCAACCGTCGTCCTTGACGGCTACTGTTGGAGCAGTATTGTTCACCCACACTGGCAACTATATATCAGCTTTTTGTGCACCTCCGCAAAATTGCTTTTCACCACTTATGGCCAAGGCTCTGGCATGCAAGGAAGTGTTATCGTGGCTCAAGGACCAGGGGGAGCAATCGGTTAACCTCTACACGGATTGTCAGACACTACTCACTTATTTGTCGTCAGCTACTATTCAGACAAGATCCTATCTTGGTTACGTCATGGATGACTGCAGAACCTATTTAAATATGTTTGATTATTGTTCGGTTAATTTTATTTCCAGATCGCATAATACTTTAGCTCATACTTTAGCAGCAGCTGCTTTTAGTTATACATTACCTATGTACTGGGACAATGCCCCTCCTGACTCTATTATGATTCATCTATAAATACAACCCAATGGTTGACTTTCAAAAAAAAAAAATTTATATCATTTGAAAGATATCATCAAAACGATTAAAACAAGTCTAATATTATATTATTATATATAGATTAATTAAAAATTAAAGTACATAAAACATGTCAAGCCCTTGTAGTATAATGACACCAAGGTTCCACTTCTATATGGGAGATTGTGGGTTCAAACCTCTAGTTATGAATAGACATTACATTCTAATAGAGTAAACCTCATAATTTTTTTGATTTGTTCATTTTCTACCTGGATGGATTTTAAAAATTCCTTACTTTCTGTCTTTCTTCATTGAGTTGCCAGTAGGACATTCGCTTGCATTGTTATTTTCATTAGCCGAGTCTGCACTTTCAAAGTCATTTAAATCAACACAAAAAGATGATGAGCCTATTGACATATCAACTCTATCATGTAGTGATTGTGATCCTCGAAAGTCGGTACTTCGCTTTCGGCTACCAAGACTAGCGCTAAATTTCTCGAGGTCCTTAAGGATATGCCATACGTGATCAAATCTAAACCCCTTTTGAAATTTGGCATCTTGTAACATTAAATCTTTTGCTATATCTAGTTGTTATAAATTATAAATATAAGTAAATAACAAATATATACAAAGTACTCACAATTAAGCAAATGATTAATAAAACATGTATGAAATACTCACAATGGACTTGTTTAGTTATTAGCGGATCCGTCATTTTTAACATTTTGACCACATCAAAACACTGAAAACTTTGTTTAATAAATTGGAAGTTTGGAACAACGGATTTGCTCCAAACCGCCAAAATCTAAAACGCTGCAAATTGCAACATTTCATATTGGCGTTTTGAACAAATGCCCAAAACACCCTTAATTGATTTTTTTTAAAGAAAAAAAAATTGTTGTCTAATTAATAGAAGCATGAGGCTTCTTTTTTCCTGTCCATCCGATTCCCTCGAATCAGATGGGCTGGAGTAAATAAGGAGGCGTTGAGCTCCCCATTAGTTTACATGAGATTTAGATCATCAGTTGTTGTTGTTGTTGTTGTTTATTATTATTATTATTATTATTATTATTATTATTATTATTATTATTATTATTATTACATTAGTTTGTTTTTATTATTATTATTATTACATCAGTTTGTTATTATTATTAGTATTATTATTATTATTATTAGTATTATTATTATTATTATCATCATCATTTTACATGTTAACTGCTCATCTAAACAACTAATTTTACCAAATACCTTTTTACAAACCGCTGATATAATATGCTGATCAAACACGCTAACACAATCTGCTATTCGTTAACCATTAATACAATTCACTAACACTAGCCGCTAATTGTCAAACAAGCCCAATATCTTGTTCAGACGTTCCGCTTAGGTTCATGTTTTCAATTTGGCGGACGCATCCTCTTAATTTTGAAAGAGCTGCCATTATATTTTGTTATGATCTCCAAGGTTGAATATTACCATTATTTGCTGGTAGCATTTGATGGTACTCAATCCCAATATGAGTCCAAAATTCTTGTTGTGCTTCATTCTTACCAATTTTAAGATCTTGGCTAATATCACAATAGACATGACATAGGAGTATGATGCAGTTCGGGTTGTGCGTGAGCTCGACATTTTGCAAAGAGAATGGAGAGGTGTTGCAAAACCAAAGAGGGGGTTTGAGAATCCAAAGAGTGGTGGTTTTACTTTGGCAATCCAAGTGTAGTATTTATAGATGAAAACACTCCTGATAAAGTTTTCAAAAAAATGGATGAAGACACTCATGATAAAGTTTGTGATAAGATTTCATATCTTTCGTTGGAATGTGTGTTGGAAAGATATGTATACCAATGAATGATAACATTGTTGAGATTTAATAACGGTTGAAAACATTCGTGATAAAGTTTGTAATAAGATTTCATATCTTTTCTTGGAATGTGTGTTGGATAGATATGCATACCAATGAATAGTTAAGATTGTTGAGATTTAATCCAACGGTTGAAAATACTCTTGATATCTTATTATAAATACTAGTACATGACATACAAAGTTATCATAAAGAAAGATTCAATTTTGTAAAGAAAATCCAAGATTACAGGAGAGAAGATATAGGTAAGCAATATCCTTCTGTTTAAACCCTAGGTAAAATCTTGGATCATGTGGACATGTGTGTAGACACAGAAAATTTGAAGCCGACAAGTGGACCGATTAAATCATTATCGAGCCAATTTCGGGATTGATTATTAGTCCAATTTAATTAATTGAGCTATGATAATTAAATTAATTTAATTAGTCCAAGTAAATTTAATTTGGGCTATTGAATTAAGTAATTAATTGGTCCAAGTCCATTTCATGATTGAATTATAATTATAATTATAATTTAAATATAATATGATTTTATTATATTTGAATTAGATAATTATAATTTGATTTGAATTTGAATTAGATGATAGAATAATGAACCTAGACTTGATTTTGGCAATGTTCATTTTAGTAGATAATTAATTAATTTAATTTAATAAATATTAGTGGAGTTTGTTGAGGGATTTTAGTTACAAACTTCACTATAAATAGAGCATCAATTCCATTCTTCAAATCACACCTTAAATACATTGAGAACAACTTGAAGACTTGAGAGCTTGAAGGCATTGAAGAACACTTGACAATTTGAAGGCTTGAAGATTTGAGAGCTCTTTTGAAGGCATTTGAAGATCTTGAAGAATTAAAGACATTGAAGACATTTTTTGCAGGTTTTAAAGATCTTGAAGCCTTTTTGTAGAGTTGATTGCTTCGGAGCTTGACGTTTGCTGTTGAAGATCACGCCGTTTGAATCCCGGAGGCACGCGCTGTTTGAATCCCGGAGGCACTTCAATAGATAACGGCATTGAAGAACGCTTGAAGACTTGAAGGAATTTTTGTTGATTTTGCAGGCAATTTGAATCCATTGGTTGATTATTTCTAAATTCTTGACGTTCGTTGTTGAAAGTCACGCCAATTGAATCCCGAAAGCTACGCCACTTGAATCCCTGAAGCACGCGCCAATTGAATCTCGGAGGCTACGCTATTTGAATCCCGGAGGCATTTCAATAGATAACGTCAGTGAAGAATCAGAGGACTAGATAGAGATTTTGTACCTGCATTCAATTATACACACGCTGTAAACAGATTTTGTAAATATATACAAAGTTTGCTTCTTCTTTTTTTGTGTTTACAGATTTTGGCACGCCCAGTGGGACCGCTCTGCCTCTCATCTCTTCACTATCGATCTACATCAGCAAGCAACTCTACTAGCAATCGGAATGGCGTCAAGAAGCTCGATGTTCAAGAAGTCTTATGCCCAAGCCGCTAGTTCCAAGTCTTCATCAACAACTGGTTCTGAAGCTAGCCGAGAGACCGAAACACCATTAACCAGGAGCCGTGCATGGAGCTTAGGAATGCGACCGCCGGAGCCTGAGTCAATTGTTCGACGTATGATTCAAAGACTCGAAACGGCCCCTACCGTCCCGAGGAAGTCTATTTATGTTGCAGGTCCACCATCTTCGAAAGGAGCAACCGATAGCGGGAGGCAGGCTTCTTCGAAAGGAGCAGTTGGCAGCGGGATGCTGACATCTTTGAAAGAAGCGGCGAATAGCGAGAAGTCATCTACCTCAGAAGGAGCGGCTAATAGCGAGAAATTGACTACCCCAAAAGGAGCAACTGGTAGCGAGAGTCCAACATCTCTGAAAGAAGCAGCCAATAGCGGGAATCCAGCATCTCTGAAAGGAGTTGCTGGTAGCGGGAATCCAACATCCCCAAAATGGAACGCTAACACCGGAGGCTCATCACCGACATCGCCGTCGTCTAACATGTGGAAGGTCGCGCCAGAATGGTCACGCATCTATACAGGTATGCCGGATATGACAACAAGCGCGATAACTATAGAGGACCAGCTTGCAAGCATCACTAAGGCGCTTGAAGGGATCACCACCCTCCTTCAAAACCAAGAAAAGAGAATCAACGACTTAGCTGAAAAGGTCGAGAGCACAAGGAATGGTGAAACTAGCCGGGCTCTTGGAAAACAACCTGAGGTTCAAGGAGAAGATGCCTCACACTCACCAACTTTCATTGGGCGAACTACAATGCACGAGGAATCAACTTCGCACAAACCAAGTTCGGACAGGAGCATTCCAGTCACAGGGGGCATGGTACCAGTAGATCGGCTTGACGAGTTCATCATGGAAGCTATCAAAGGAAAGCTCGAAGGGGAAAAACCTTCATACATTTACACCAAGCCTTACACCCAAAGGATAGAGGATTTGAAGATGCCCATTGGATATCAACCTCCAGCATTTCAACAATTCGATGGGAAAGGCAATCCAAGATAACACATCGCCCACTTCGTGGAAACATGCAACGACGTTGGGATATATGGAGATCTTATTGTCAAGCAGTTCGTCCGCTCTTTGAAGGGTACTGCCTTCAATTGGTACACCGACTTGGAGCCTAGCTGCATTGATAGCTGGCATGACATGGAGCGCGAATTCTTTACCCGCTTCTACAGCACAAGAAGAACCGTCAGCTTCTTAGAACTCACCACCACTCGCCAAAGGAATGGTGAAAGCTCAACCGCTTACATTGAAAGATGGAGGGAGTTATGCTTGAATTGCAAGGAAAAGATATCACAGAGCTCCGCGATTGAAATGTGCATCCAAGGCATGCACTTCGAGCTCTCCTACATCCTCCAAGGGCTCAAGCCTAAGACTTTTGAGGAATTATCTAGTCGTTCTCACGATATGGAGTTAAGCATAACAGCTAATGGTGAACAAAACATATCCATTCAAAGCTTCTACAATGGGGGCAAGAGTCATGATGACGTTGAAAATGGCGGCAAGGCCTTTAAGAAATATGAAAGCATGGACGCTATGCATGTGAATATTCAACCAGCTAGGATATTCACTGAAGCTACTAATGAGTCTAAGGGTGCTTCTAGATCATTACGGGGTAGTAGAAGGCTTTCTTTCAGGGAAAGACAAAACAAGAAGTATCCATTCTTGGATTCTGATGTCCCACATATGTTTGATGAGCTATTGAAACACAATCTCATTGATTTTCCAGAAATGAGGCGACCACACGAGGCATCAATGGTGGATCATCCGAGTTATTGCAAGTTTCATAGGCTTGTCGGACATCCAATTGAAAATTGCTTTGTCTTTAAGGATAAAGTAATGGAGTTAGCTCGAGATGGGAGAATTGAACTTGCAGATGCCACAGCAAGCGCTAATCAAGTTTCCATCTCATGCGGTAAATCTACTTCGCTACTCATTGAGAAGAACAATGTGAAGGGAAATAGAAAACAACACAAGTGTATATTTCCTCTTAACATCAAGTCTTATGATACCAACCCCGAGTATGGTACTCGACTTGGTATTAAGCATGCTAAGCAACACCACGTTTGTGCTGCAACACGACCGCCTAAGCAAGCTATGAAAAGGTGGGTTAAGAAGAAAATGGTAAAGGGCCCTATAGATGGGAGGACTTGCAGGCACTATATAAAAGCACGAGTTCCAGTCACATTGGCGGATTACGTGCCGAAGTGGTTCCATATTACTCCAGCTAACCAAGGAGTGAAGATGAAAATTCCTCTAATCAGCCCATATGCTAGAGAAGAATGTGCCTCAACACATTATACCACAATATGTGATGGAGGAAATATTCTTCAAGCTTCCTCAATGTGAATTGAAAACGCATCATATTCAAGACTCCCCGGCACGAGTTGAAACTGCCTCATATTACTTCAAGGCTCACCGGCACGAGTCGAAACTGCCTCATATCCCACAAGGCTCCTTGGCACGAGTTGAAATGGCCTTATAGTTTCGAGACTTCCATGCACTACATACTTTCAAGCAGTGTATGCTCTCAAGTGGCATGTCCAAGAAAGTCTCGAGGGGGCAATTTGTAGACACAGAAAATTTGAAGCCGACAAGTGGACCGATTAAATCATTATCGAGCCCAATTTCGGGATTGATTATTAGTCCAATTTAATTAATTGAGCTATGATAATTAAATTAATTTAATTAGTCCAAGTAAATTTAATTTGGGCTATTGAATTAAGTAATTAATTGGTCCAAGTCCATTTCATGATTGAATTATAATTATAATTATAATTTAAATATAATATGATTTTATTATATTTGAATTAGATAATTATAATTTAATTTGAATTTGAATTAGATGATAGAATAATGAACCTAGACTTGATTTTGGCAATGTTCATTTTAGTAGATAATTAATTAATTTAATTTAATAAATATTAGTGGAGTTTGTTGAGGGATTTTAGTTACAAACTTCACTATAAATAGAGCATCAATTCCATTCTTCAAATTACACCTTAAATACATTGAGAACAACTTGAAGACTTGAGAGCTTGAAGGCATTGAAGAACACTTGACAATTTGAAGGCTTGAAGATTTGAGAGCTCTTTTGAAGGCATTTGAAGATCTTGAAGAATTAAAGACATTGAAGACATTTTTTGCAGGTTTTAAAACTTGAAGCCTTTTTGTAGAGTTGATTGCTTCGGAGCTTGACGTTTGCTGTTGAAGATCACGCCGTTTGAATCCAGGAAGCTACGCCGTTTAAATCCCGGAGGCACGCGCTGTTTGAATCCCGGAGGCACTTCAATAGATAACGGCATTGAAGAACGCTTGAAGACTTGAAGGAATTTTTGTTGATTTTGCAGACAATTTGAATCCATTGGTTGATTATTTCTAAATTCTTGACGTTCGTTGTTGAAAGTCACGCCAATTGAATCCCGGAAGCTACGCCACTTGAATCCCGGAGGCACGCGCCAATTGAATCTCGGAGGCTACGCTATTTGAATCCCGGAGGCATTTCAATAGATAACGTCAGTGAAGAATCAGAGGACTAGACAGAGATTTTGTACCTGCATTCAATTATACACACGCTGTAAACAGATTTTGTAAATATATACAAAGTTTGCTTTTTTTTTGTGTTTACAATGTGATTGGGTAGCTCTTGGCCTTTTGTCCAAATGGACTATGACGAATCTTTGGCACCTCTATTATGATCAAAAGCCTCTTATCAAACGGCTTTACCTGCAATTCAAACTCTCTTCTCCATCGCCAAGATTTGCCTTCATCTCTACGCTCTCCGCAATTCAAGATTTTCACAATCCTGTTATTGACTCCACTTCTACTTTGCCATCCTACACAAAGCTCATTTCTCACCTTTCCCTGTTATTGACTCCACTTCTACTTTGCCATCCTACACAAAGCTCATTTCTCACCTTTCCCGGATAAAGTCTCTAGTCTCAGGTCTACAAATCCATGCGTGTGTAACGAAGCTTGGGTTGTCCCAAGACAGTAAACATAGAAACCATTTGATAAATCTTTACTCAAAATGTGGGGGTTTTGGGCATGCCCACAAGCTGATCGAGGAAATTCCCAAACCAGACTTGTTTCTTGGTCTTCTTTGATGTCTGGGTATGCCCAGAATGGGCTTGGGGAAGAGGCCGCCTTAGCTTTTCAGAAGATGCATTCTTTGGGACTTAAGTGTAATGAGTTTGCATACCCTAGTGTGCTTAATAAGATGCCTTTCGAGGCTAATGCATCTGTGTGGGGGGCACTTCTCGGGCATTTTGGTTTTGTTGAATTACAATAGAAACAATACATTTCCAGTCTGATTAATTTTTGAACACAACCAAATGGCAGCAAACAAACAATCACTTTTCATCTCTGAACTGAACATTGGAGCGCTACCAAATGGGCTTTTGCTCCAGAAATTGAATGCTTTCTCTGAACTGTGATGATTCTTTACAAATTACTACTGCAATGACTACAATATGCAATCTCTCCCCACTCCCCAGTAACAAATGTTTGGTTTATAGTACATGATGAAATGTAGAAAGTAACACGGTATGATGCAGCAATCTAACCTGGCTTGGATGTCTCATATCAAGAATGAGTCCTCTGACATTATGGTCAGCAGTGAATACTTCACTTTGATTCTTATCCTGCTGTCCTCGACGAAGAGCCTTGCACCAGTCACCACCCAGTATCCTGGTGACTCCTCGGGGCCTCTCACCATTTCTTTTGTATCCACAAAGTGTGACATCTTTGGAGGTCTTGCTGGCATAGGTGGCCCCGCGGGGTAAACAGCCGAGTTCAAATCCACTTTTGCCGGTTGTTTCTCAGGTTGTGTTAGCTTTGTGCTGAGAGGCGTGGTGATCAGCATAGATATCAGCCCTGATTTGCGAGTTGAACTCATTGGTTCGTCCCACTCTGACCTGCGGATAGTAGCAGATGCCACCATCGAGAATCCAAGCCTCAGGAATAGGACCTTCTTCATGCCAATAGCCTTCACCTCAAACCAGGCCTTGGTCGCTATTGAAGCAAAATCATCTATCCGGGTTCCATGGCACTCAATTGGAGCTGTGCAAACATGTGAAAATATGCTCCATTTCACCGGTTCAAAATAGCCTCGTTCAACATGCTCATCAACGGGCTCATAGGTGAGATCATCTGTTAGTTGCAGACTTTGTGGAAGGGTTGACAAATGCTGTAGGTGGATAGCTAGGTGATCGCTCCTTTTACCTTCCAGGTATAAGCGAATTCCAGTTACTGGTCGGTTTCCAGACTCAACCTGCAAGGTTCTATTTGTTATTTTAAATCTCTCGTGAAACATTCAACTAGATAAAAGATGCAGTTGTGAAGTCAATAATGAACAGAAAACGTTGTTCTAAACTGCAAAAATTAACCTTCTCGGTATTTACAAATAGCTTTGGGCCCATAAAAGTGAATTGCAATGATGGAGAGCTCTGTTTCCTGCGACGATGACCAAGAGGAAGATCACCATATGCTGGGGCCCACTGTCGAGGTAACTGAAATTCCAGAAATTGTTGGAGTTCTTCTAGTGGTGGTTTGTCTGCATAAATTTGTTATCAGATACAGAGTATAACTATTGTTCAAGTCATATAGTGGCCACTGTTAGTATAACTTCAAAAAGAATGAATGATATATCTGTTCCTGTAATTGAAAGCACACCTTCACTCACACCCATATGTAAAAGATTACTTGGTGTTAATGGTCAATTAATAGGAAATAGGAATGAAACTTCAACCTGAACACCCATGCAGAAGGTGGTATTACAGGCGATGGACAGTGTGGACTACATATCTACGGAGTATTAATTAATTGATCAAACTTTAACTGATGGAAATTTGTCTTCAAAACTACAGGAAAACCATGCATAACTATTCATAACCCATACGATCCACCAACTGGAATCCAAAAAAACGTCTCGGTGTATCACATGTTACAAAGTTTGTAGCCTTCCTCTATTTAAATAATAATAATAATAATAACAATAAAACAAAAAGGGAAAGATACAGAGTATTAAATAGAGAATGTAGAATACTCACATCGGAGGTACAAGTTCATTGCATGGCTTAAGAATCCACTACCCCGAACACCACTTAAAAGTGAAGCAATAGGCACAAAGGACATGGATATGACATTAGGATTCTCTGATACTGTAGAAAGCCACTGGCTATGACTTTGGCCAAAGTCAACGCCTCCCCGACGGATATGAATGCTTATTATATCCTGCAATGGGATACATTGTCTTAGCTTGAAATATCTAGTTTAGAAAAAAAAAAAAAAATCGCAAATTTGGTATAAAAGCAAGAGGCATTGCAAAGATTGAAGGCTTACTTCATTCTTTGAGTGTGATGTGATAGTTGGTACCATGGAACGTGCAACTGGTAAACTAGCATCCCATAGCATAGATTTTTCAGCCTGGGAACAGAAAAAAGAATTCAATCAGCACTGGGTGGCTTAAGTAGCTTCCTATGTATTAAACAGTTCTTGTATAAAGTGTTCTACCAGGTTCTTTTATGCAAAAGAATTCTCAATGTTTTCTTCTTCACAAGATACAAGAATGTATTGCCATATCTTGATCTTTTGTTTTCAAGTATCCCTCAGTACCATTGGAATTGCAATATAGTTTCACAAGTTGACTAGTCATTTACTCATTTCAGTGTGATCATGTCACTTTTTATTATGTATCTGAACAAAATCCTCTAACAGGACGTGTTAACTGTTAAGATATCTAAACAGAAAACAGTAAAACAGGAGGGTGAAGAATGTCAAGGTAATTCTAATTTCTAAGGTACAGTTACCTTGAGTTTTCCTGTAGATGTATTGGTATTTGATATCAAGCTCCCATTTACATCATTTGAAAACCTTTCATCGGCTAATTGTTTTAACAATTTCTGCACTTCAGTCGGCTCAAGATTTGAATTGTGAAGCTGCTTTATGTGAATTACATCCTTTCCTCCCATCTTTACCCCAACAATAACATGGGTTCCATATTTTTCAATGAATCTGGAGAATCATCCCATTAGTTTTATAATCAGTGGGTCTCCAGCAACTAGGAGGATACTTGAAGTAGTGAGATGGTTATTTGCAGGCCATATTTCTCATTGAGGGAGAAAAAGGCATCAAATCTAAGGAAATTCAACATTTCCAACAGCTTAGAGCCCATTACTAAATTTGGATTTTTAGTAAGAAAGTGCTGTAATTTCTTATCTTATTCTCCGTACATGGACATTACTTTACACTCATTATTTGTTCATGCATTTGCACCTAACTCCCTACACTGTTAATTGCCATTGTCAGCAAGTGCAAGCACACAGAAAAAGACTTTCTTTTTTCCATTTTTGTTAAGTTCATGATCATTGAAGAAACTAAACAACTATCTTAAAAAATTTCCACCGAATATGTCAAACATTTTCAAACTACGGTTGGTGATCATATATTAAAAAACCTGGTACTAGAAGAGATGAATAAGTCTAAAAATGTCCAGATACGTCTTCCTAGATTGCATACTTTTGTCATAGTGGAATTTATACTGTAAAGGTGATTTTAATTTATGAGCTTCTTATTAAGAACATTCTGGCTTCTGGTATTAGAGTTTTTCAAACAATCAGCTTCAGCATAATGATCTTACTCAGCAAGGGCAGGAGGATCCCAAGAAGAAGGAACTTCTCTTTTCAATTGCTCAGATAGAGCAACTTGGCTCCGCACCAACTCAACATTATACAAGGAAATGAACCAACCATCAAAAGCAAGAAGTTTTGTGCTTGCTGCATCCTTTTGCCAGCACCCCTTGTGACCAAACATTGCATTATATAGACCAGAAGGTATTTTACCAGATAAAGCTAGTTCCTGGTTGAACTGCTCTGACATCTGTAGACAAGGGGAAATAGTTTGTTTAATTTTCCAAAAAAAAAAAAAAACAAGAAACTTTTGGGGCCAAGTACAAAAGTCAAACTCTTCCAAGCAAATGCCATTAATTTGCAGGCCAATAGAACAGCAGTAAGGGGCTAAAAAGCTTGAGCCTTAAGGCCCTAACAGAAATTGAAGGGAGGCAGACATGATCACATGACACTTGTAAACATCTCCGCATTTTGTTCATCACTAAGTTGGTTAAGGTTGAAATTGAATTGTAACAAACTGCCCCAGTTGGTAAAATGTTGAAATGTTGAATACTAATCTTGCCAACTACAACTGCAAATGCAAATACTTACCAACAATAATACTACACTTACTCCCTCTTTTTACTCTCCACTGACATGGCATGCACCAATTGGCCTAGAAAAAAGGGGGTCTCATTTTTTTTTTTTCCTTTTCTTCATCCAATGAGATCATGGCATCTGTTGGGAGTAATACTCCCAAGTACACTATTACACTAAGCATTTTCCCTCAGCAATAATAAGTATGCTATACTCATTACTGTGCAGTGTGCACTTTATTCTTATACATGAACACCCACCCCGCGGAAAAAAGGTAGCCTCATGTACATTCTAGTTGAATTGCAAGTTCATTTCACCAGGAAAAAAAAAAAATAATAAACATGCAATTCAACTGGAATGAACCTAGAGTTCAATTGGAATGAACTTGTACTACATTTCATCTAAAAAAGAACATATAACTTCAAAAGTATAACCAAAACTCAAAGTGAACATACAGCTCAACAGAAATGGACACACATGACACATTAAAGAGAAATGCACACGAAGTTCAATAGAGATAAATACAATACATTTCGCACAATCACCAGAATTCAAAAATGAACATCTACCTCAGTAAAAATGTACACGAAGTTCAACTAAGATGCACTGCGCACATTTTGCAAGACAAACATGATGATGCCATCATGTGTGTTTTGCCAAGCTTTTACCATTTAAGTACTACATTTCCATTTACCAATATATCGATCATTCAAACAATGTCTACATTTAGGATAAAGTAACATGCTAGATAAGCACAGCACACTGAATATGTACCCAAAATTCAAAAGGTTCAACTATGTATAAGCAAAAAAAATTTAAAATTATTTTTATTTTTAAAATCCTTATGGTTTTCTCATATGTCAGTCTTCAAAAAACTTGAAATTCTGCATTTTACAAAACATTTCGCCTTACCTTAAATTACACCCCATCTACTCGAATAATCAACGCATAGATTATCTAAATTCCTCTTTTCGCAGCCAAACACAGTAAATTTAGCAACAAATTACAAAAATTAGAAACGAAAAAAAAAAAAAAACATAAGGAATTGCAGTAATCCGACATCAAGTAAACAGATATCTGTAGCTCCCACTATTCACAGTAGTAGTTACTCGGAGATCATTCAAAAAGAGGGAATTCACATGAAATGAATCTTCGAGAAATTACCTGACTAAAAGAAAGAGCATCGGAGCGAAACCGTGTGCGTTCGCCCTTATCGCACTTGATGGAGGTGGAGACGCTAGGGACTACAACGCCGGCGGGCAGAACCAAGTCCCTAGTGGAGCTCCGTTGAATTTCGATCAGCCCCGACCCGGACGGGCCGGGCTTGCAAGCTGACAACCGGATATCGGCGGTCAAGTCGTAGCCGAATCCGATGACGGAAACCGCCCTCTCCGCCGCCGCCTGTGGGTCCATCCTGTTACTCGGGTTAAACGACATGGGTAGGTAGAAGCTCCGATCACGAAAGCTGAAGAGAGAAAAAAGTTTTACTCTGAATTTTTCATTTGAAAAGAAAAAGGAAGAGAGAAAGATTGACTGGGTTTTCGGGTTTGAAAGGCGGAATGACAGAAATGCCCTCGGCTGGGTCGGAGGGTGACGACTGTTTTGGCGTGGAGCTGGGTGGTATGGTCATTTCATCTGTTTAAATATTGAGGGAAGGGTCACAAGTGACGGCAATAGATTCTTTGTCCAGGGCTTTTTGGGTAAACCAAAATTTCTCCACCCATGCATTGGCTGCGGTGTTGACTTTGACTCGATGGAGTAAACTGTGGCTAATGTGAACGGCGGTAATGTTGTGGCGGCGGCTTGAGAGTTACGGCTTGTCAGTCTCATTACCACGTGATTACTGTAATTCTCTATATTTTCTTTAAAACTTTTTCAACATTTTTAGAAGATTACGGAGAGTTTCATAATAATTATTATTATTATAGAAAAAAAAAATTTTACTTGAGTCTTAAATTTCTCTATCTAATGATATGCCTTATAATTATTGAGTGCCTAGTAATGGGTTGATCCCATCAACTTTGAATGAAAGAGTAAGGCTGTGTTTGAAAATCTGAAAAATGATTTTTTGAAATTATCTTTTGAATTTTTGGTATTTGGCAACACTTGAAAAATTCAGTCAACGGAAAATATTTTTCGTTGACTAGGGAAAATGTGTTCATTTCGACGAAAAATGACTTCTATCAAAATTTGACAAACTGTTTCAATTTTTTTTAAGGCAGAGAAACCAGTTCCGCAGGAAACTATAGCTATGGTTTCCGTCGGAAACCAAACGGATAACCGTTTTTTTTTTTTAAGTTTCAAACATATAAAATGTATTTTTATATTCTAAATAAAATAATTAAAATATTTAAGTATACAATTCTACTCATTTTTCATAAAATGAACCAAACACACCAAAACAGTTTTCCAAATGCAACCAAACACTGGAAAAGAAAAATATTTTCTGAAAAATAACTCATTTTCCAGAAGTTATTTTCCTGCTTAGTAAAACTATATTCGGTCTGCAATCGAGGTGAAATAATGAGAACCAGGCTTCTCTGGCGAGTGAAACTATATTCGGTCTGCAATCGAGGTCGGGTCGACATGCACGGAGACGACTTCGCTCGATTGACAACCCTAGTACTGAGCATATATACGATATCGATACGGTAGAGAATAATCTCTATCAAGTCTCATAATAATAATAATAATAATAATAATACTTCATATAGAGGAAAGAAAATCAAAATTTTATTAGACTATTAACCTACAGACAACAATGTAACCAAAATTAAAACTAGAGTTAATTTCGCCGGAGGTCCCTTGTCTTTTGTGGCAATTTCAAATTTAGTTCTAGACTACCGTTTTTGTCATTTTACATCCCAGACTATTATTTTTTGGACACTTTTAGTCTTTTTTATTATTTTTTCTATTTTTAGTAAGGGCATTTTTGTCTTTTCATATTTTTCTTTTGTTATTTTTTCCGGATTCAACTAGTTTAATTGGTTTAGGACTTTACTAAAAATTGATTGAAAAATATGGTTACTAAAAATCAGAGGTTACCTAAAGTTCTAGACCAATTAAACTGGTTGAAATCGGAAAAATAACAAAAGAAAAATATGAAAATATAAAAACGCCCTTATTAAAAATAGAAAAAATAATGAGAAGGACTAAAAGTGTCCAAAAAACAATAATCTGATATGTAAAATGATAAAAACGATAGTTCGGAACTAAATTTGAAATTGCCACAAAAAAACAAGGAACCTTCAGTGAAATTAACGCTTAATACTATCAAACAACAAATGATAGTATCAATTATTGAAGTTATTAGTCAAACTTTTGTTCGGCTATGAACCAAACAAGCAACAGTATCACCAAACATAAAACTATCAAATTAACAATAGCATAATTAGGAGGGTATTACGTGTTTATTTTAACATTTTGAGAAATCTTTTGATCTCAATGTATAATATTTTGAGATGTTTGGTAAATAGTTGTTAGCTAATTGGGTTAGTGGGTTTGAGTAGTTGATAACATTAGCTGATTGTAAAAAGATGTTTAGTAAAGAGTTAATTCCATTTTTTGTCATAGATTTATAGGTGGCAATCCACTTTAAGTCCTCTTTTATTAAAACATCCACTTTTGGTCCTAGTATTATTGCGGCATTACTATTTTTGGTCCTTTATCAACAAAACAGTTTAAATATCGTTAAATACAAGGGCATTTCGGTATTCAATTATGAATTTTTTCAAAAAAATAAACATAAAAAAAATATAGCGGTTCAACCTACTTTGTATAAAAAAGATTGAAATGTCTTTGTATTTAACAGCATTTCAACAAGGATGTTCTAATAAAAAAAGACTAAAAGTGGACTGTCACTTATAAATCTAGGACCAAAAATGAAATTAATTAAGTCTTTAGTAAATTAGTTGTTAAATGATTACATGTAAAATGACTTTCTTAAAAAACTAGCAACTTTTTGAATTTTAGCATTTTGGAGCAATAAACTGTTACAAAAAGCTAATTAATCAAACACTTTTATTGAATGTTTAATCAAGTTAAATAACTAAAAGTGGTCAAATAAGCTAAAATTGACTGATAAGCTAACTATGTTACCAAATAGGATTTAAAGTAAAAAACATATTTTAAGAGACCTCATCAGTAATCATATCTTCAATTCTTTGAATATCTCCCACCAATCCTACCTCTCCTGCTCTTTATCATGTTGTTAACAACACTATAAACATCATCTTATTCGCCCTATTGCACTCTCTGGAGTCTTATTTATTCATTCTTTAGACTATATTTGATTGGTCCAATCATCCCAAACTTTTACTACCCAGCTTGATGCCTTGAAGCCAGCCATTTCCCAGAAGACAAATATCATTATTGTATGCATGTAATCTTTGTGCAAAGGATTTTGCCACTCAGTTCTCTGACTCCAATATTTGTGTGGGGTGCAGTAGTCTGTAATACATAAAAAAGATGTGAAGTTAAGGTTGGATTTGGCACCATCCTATTTCTTCCTTGTGACAAAAGGTGGAATCGCCCACCCCAGGTCTTACGTACAAGAAACACTGCCGCTGATGAGACTCGATCCTTGGTCTCTTGTGACAAATTTCACCTCTGTGATCAATTGATGAGCTACCTATGCGGGCTAAATTTGATTCTTTGCAACATCCTCTCAAGTCCATGTATGTATAAGGTTTTCCTAGTGCGATTTATCTATTTTATGTGATTTACAAGCTATTACACAAGTGTTGGGATGTGTTTACCTAATACACACTCTTAAATAGCAAGGTAGGCCCTAGCCACGTGCCAAGATACGGTGACCACACAAGACCACCCCCCACCTTTTGAGGGCTCAAATTTTTAAAAAATATATTATATATATAATCTATTATTTTTATACTTGATAATTATGTTTTTAGATTCACATATTAATTTTAATTGCAATTGGAAATAAAATTTTATATAAAAAAAAAAATTGACATTGAAATTTTGATGAATAATTTTGTTTCTAAATATACTTGAAGAATGTTACTTTTAAGTTATATTTTCAATTTAATTTTTCTTTATTGAATTCTTATACATTATATTTTGACAAAAAAGTTTTTATTACATTTTTATTTTATATTCGTACTTATATAATAATTTTTTTAGGCTTGTAGAGGTCGCAACTAATTAAAAAAAAGACTTCATCAATTAAACCCTTAAATTGATTAAAATTGTGCAATTAACATATAACAGGTTATCAACAGGTAACCAGTTAATTTTGATTACATGGCATCTTATGTGGCATTCCATTCAAAATAAAAATAAAAACTAAAAATAAAAAATAAAAACAAATTTATAAAATAAAAAGTTGTTGACTTCTGCGTAAGTTTAGAACGGAGAAGTTAGCGGCGGGCTTTTTCTTCAGATGAAGAAGCTGACGTGTTTCTCCATCCATATTGGACGTAGAAACCTGCAAGCTACTTCATCCATGTCGAAATGGACGGCTCCATCCAGTTCGACATGGACGAAGATGCCATGGCAGCTGCTGTCATGCATGATAGTATGTTTTCTTTTAATTAATTTTATTTTTTGAAATATAATTAATATGATTTATTATTTTAGTATTTTTTTAAAATATTAATCTGTGTGGCATCTTACGTGGCATCTATAGCATGTGACTTGAAGTTAACATTTTATTATAGGCCAAATTAGTTAATTGCACATTTTTAACAAGTATAAGTGTTCAATTATATGATTTTTTTAGTTCCCGTCTTTCAAAGTTTAATTACATTTTGATATATAATTGAAGGGCTAATTTAACCCTTATCCTACAAATTAAAAAAAAAAAAAAAAATTGGGGCACAAAAAATCTGTTTAACATATATTCTTAACGGCCGTCAATGTGTAACAATCGACACATTCTTTGACCGTGGAAGATTACATGTGGAAAATAGATTAATCAAGTCTTACGTGGTTTAGAACATTGGACGACATTTCAAGTTAGTTACTTGAAATCTTGAATATCTTTACGTTAATTCATATTCGAGTTAGTTGAACCTGGAGGGTTTAGTTGAGTGGAAATGATTTATTCATCCTTAACCAAAGGTCATGAATTTGATATTTGACTTTGGGAATGGAGTAACCTTAAATTTTTAAGCCAGTTGTCCCATCCAAAAGAGGTGTCTATAATTCAGCGAGGAAATTAGTCACTGTGCTTGGAGATTAATGTATCTTTTTCCTTATAATTTTTTCTCATTTTTTAAAAATGAACTTTATTATTATATTACCATATGATATGACCCTGGTAAATCATGGAACAAATAAGATTATCCGGAAACGTTCTCATTTCAATGGTATAGTTTACATGAAATCTCCCTTTAGTTTCGAATTTGATCGGGTTTTGTTGTGATCTGTGCATGGCAGCTTCTAGAATTCACGAGCAACCTTTGATGTAGTGTGTCTAGTTACGCCCGGCCCCTAGGAAGATTATGAGTTCGAACTCCAAATAATAATTCTAAAGGGT